AAGTTGGAAACCGGATTAAGGCCAAATAGTGCTGGGATTCCCTATACATTGCTCTTAGAGATTGAGGCTACGGGGTTTCCAACTTTTGGGCTTCTACTGTAGACCATGCCAGGAGGGTCCATGTACACTACTATGATGGAGTTAGGTCCCCACAACCATGGTAATTCGGATGGTCTTTTGGGACCTAAATTCATGATGGTAGCATGTATGGACCCTCTGAAATATTATGCCCCGAACCTATTCGAATTGTCAAGGCCCGGCGTTACGCAACTTGCATCCCATGGGTCTTTCCGAGGCATACGCCTGGTGAAGGCGCAGCCCAATGTGATAAATCTCAGTGGCAGGGACGAGGCGGCTTGGGGTTTAGAGCTTAGGGTTCAGGGTTAGGGGTTAGTTTACGGCTTAGGGTCCATTGCAGCCATGGCTCCGGGTTTCAGGGCTTCTTTATCTGTTTCGGTTTTTTGGATTTAAGGTTTCAGTCTCTGGGTTTTGGTTCGAGGGTTTGAGGTTGAGGGTTAAAGCCTGGGACATGGCTTGGGATTAGGGCTTGGGGTTGGAAGTCTGGGTATCCAGAGACTCCCACATCCCTCAATTAAGGAATATTCCGTAAATCATATTAGGGATCCTACTATAATTTACGGTATATTCCTGAATTAAAGGATGTTGGGGTCTCTGGGTATATGGTTCTAGGCTTCTAGGAGTCATCGGATCTGAGGTCTCGGATTTGGGGTCGAGGGGGGGGGGAAGGGGCCCCGACTTGGGGGACTCCACCTATAGTCTCCATTGTAGTTCCCTTTTTTGGTTAACTAGCTTTATGGTTAGGACCCTATAATCGAGATTTTGGTTAACCAAAAAAAGGAACTACAATGGAGACTATAGGTATTTTACAGGACTCTCATGTCGATTTGCTTTAGAAGTAGTTATTCGAAATTGTAGCAGGGCTCCTTCTTGCAGGACCCAGCATGCGGAAACTGTAGATTAGGGCGCCTTGTATGTCCATGTGCATAGTCGCGATGGCAATGATCCCTGTAGTTGTCTTCCCCTTGCCGCGCTTGTTGCTGGCCTGACTGCTGTCGCTCGAGCCTCCATCACGGCTGCTGCTGCCACCGCCGCCGCCAGCAGCACCGTGCAGTACCACCAGCACAACCAAGTCTCACCACCACCACCACCGCCGCCACCACCACCACCGCCGCCACCACCACCACCACCACCACCACCACCACCACCACCACCACCACCACCACCACCACCACCACCACCACCACCACCACCACCACCACCACCACCCGTTGTAGGACCTTAGTAAGTCGTCGTAGTAGCAGGAGTACAGGAGGAAGAGGAGGAGGAGCAGCAGCAGCAGCAAAAGCAGCAGAACGACGAGCAGTTGCAGTAACACATGCTTTGGTAGGTGATGTTAGAAGTACGACTCTTGCAGAGCAGGCCGACATGAGCCGCCACTTCCTGATGGCTGGCTACCCGCCCAGCTGGAAGAAGTGGGATCTGATGAAGGCGCAGTTATGCCTATAGTCTCCATTGTAGTTCCTTTCCTTTTCTTGGTTAACCAAAATCTCTATTATAGCGTCCTAACCATAAAACTGGTTAACCAAAAAAAGGAACGACGATGGAGACTGTAGGTGTTTTGTGTGTTTAGTTCTGTTTGGGCTTCGTGCCTGGAACTTCTAATGCAGGGCTTGTTTTAAGCTGTTACGGGGTAAGGTTTATGCAGGGGGAGTGTTTAGGGTTCTTCTTGCGTTGCAATTAGTAAACGTGTGCGTGGCGGAACTCAGATCAAGGAAACATACAATCACGGATAACATGCATGCAGATCTTTCGTTCGATCTAGCACGAAGAAGCACCTGACAGATGCAGGGAATGCGATGTTCTCTGGTTCTGTGGCCAGGAATGTTGGCAAGCTTGGCAAACTCTTACCCCGTAGTGCCAGGATCCCTGAACTAGTAAGTTAACGCTTTCCCTTGTGGTGTGTGGGTGTGGGGGCTCCAGTTAGGATTGGTTGAGGGCAAGGTGGTGACTGTGGTCGCCAACTGACGCACTTTGGTTCTGGAGCTAGCGGTGGTTTGACGTTGGATTCATTGTCGGCGTGGCTGAGTGCGAAAAGATAATAAAAAAAACCCTAAGTTTCCCTAAGTGGCCCCTAAACCCCGAAGTGCCTTAATTTCCCCGTTTTCGTTTTGGGCCACAGCCCACAGCCAAGCAGGCAGAGCCGGCAGAGCTTTTGGAGTCCTAGCCTTGAACTTAAAGCTTCGTTGAACCCGCCTTGAGCATTTTCGCACGATTCCCGACCCGCGATTCAACCAGTTAATTTTTGTGCTTGGAACTTGCACGTGCTTGGAAGCTTTCGCATTTTTCTGAAGAAGTGGACTGAGACTGGTGCCACCGGTGGTGCGAGCTGTTTGAGTTCAAAGAGTGAATCTCAGACCTCAGATGATCAGATCAGATGCAGTAGAGTCAGTTCAGAGTCGCAGAGCAGAGCTTCAGCCTCCCACAGAATGAGCAGCAGCAGCAGAATACTCAGAACTCAGAACACTTCGGACTTCAAATGATAGGATCCTCGACAAAACCTAGGAAGCAATCGGCAATCGGAGGCTTTTCTGCGCCAGTCGTAGTCGTCATAGTAATAGTAATGGTAGTGAGCCAAGTCATATTCCCACTTTGCAACTTTTAACAGGTTTTGACGAAGCCAGGAAACTTTTGAATCTTGGAACCTCGAACTTCCATCGTAGGAGCATTGCATCGTAGGGAGATTTCTCCGGCAAGCGCTGCCGGCCGGCATGGAGGAGAGTTGAGAGTTGATGCCTTTGATACTGCTACTGGTTCTGGCCTCTGGCTGTGCAGTCAGTGCTAGCCCGGCAAAGCTTGTCAGCCATCATGCAGGGGCAGGGAGACGTGCGGTGCGTGTTTGTTGGAACGGTTGCATCGCAGTATTTCCTATCTTCAGATCGCCACTATAGTGCTAAGCAAGAGCAAGATCGGGATATATGCCTGACAGAAGCCTTGGTGCCTGCATTTCGCGACGCAGTGCGTGACACACCATTCGAAGCATTACCACCTGCCGACTGCCATATTCTGGGAGCAGTGGCATTGCGTCCTCGTGAGCGGGTAGTTTTCCGGGATGCAAGTTTGATTGGACCCGAGGCCCAGCATCAGCTATCACATTGGACGACCCTTGCCGGAAGGCCTTTAGATGGTTTCGCTTTGTTGTTCGATGTTATAGAAAGTATGCTGCTACAGCAGCCGCAAGCTTGGTTCACCATAGCTGGCAGACGTGGCGGTTGCTTCTTCACAGATTTGGAATATGGGCAGCAAGAGCGGTTGCATTCTGTGTGGCCTGAGGAGTGTCATCCTGTATTCTCGTATCCTTTTAGCCAAGTGCTACGACTTCCATATCCCTTTGCCATGCTCATTTTGACAAAGCATTGGTCCACAGTTGTTGTTCCAGATCTGCCGGTGGCTTGGAATAATGATGCCTACGGTGTCACAAAAGGGCGCAAATTTGTTTCTGGTCTTGTTGGCAGCCAGCGAAAGAGGATTGAGCAGTGGCCGGCATTGCGTATCTTCGGCAAGAGACCCGCTCTTGAAGAAGCGGTGTCTGCCCAAGCTGCAGGAGCTGCGAAGCAAATTGATTGCATCCACGATCCAGTGAAGCTTTGGGGGTTGGCAGATTGTATTGCTGCTTTGGGGCAGGGTGCAAATCATGCTGTAGACCCTACAGTCTGGCAAGATTTTGTGGAAGGCATGCGTTATCAACATGCTGAGAGTTTGCTGCTAGCGAGTAAGCGGCATGCGTATGTGGCCGCCACACAGCATGGATTCGCATTCAGCATCGGTTTGCTAGTTGAGGCCATGCTGTGTGCTATGGCTTTAAACAGCGACGGTGCATTGGCACATGCTTTGAAACTGGCAGCCTTCTTACTTTTGCCGGAGAAACTTGCTGAGGCATGGATTGAGAGGTTGAAAGCAGATGACAGGCTGCACTTGCCGTCGAAAGCCATCATTTCGCAGAGACGTGCTGCGTTGGACATGGGCTTTGCAATGTTGCAACAGTCTAAGGTCCAGGCGAGCTTGTTGAAAGGAGTTTTCATTTACGCTTTGACAGATTCCTCTCCACAAGGCGGCCGCGATTATGAAGTTACTGTGCTGGATTTTGTTGAGCATCAACATGCTGCAGAGCTGTTGTCCTACGTCCATTCTTGCCGGCAGTACCGAAGCAGCAGTCAGCCTTGTGTAAGAGTTGAGAGTTGAGAGTTGTGAAGTATGTGACTATGTGAATCTGGCATTCTGTGAGTTTGCGACCGTCTTGTCACCAAAGTCATTGTCCTGATAGCTGCACTGCAAGCGCTAGGAATATGATGGCATGACTCGGCGGCTGTGCATATTGTCAGGAGCATGTGCTTCGGTCACCAAGTGATTGTATTTCGAATCTAAGGTCCGAAGGCATCTCGCCCGGCATCCGCTTGACTATTCAGCAGATGCGACGAAAGATCGTTCAAATTATCCCACCTCCTGCCACACTCGGTGGCAGGTCAGCCAATGCAGGCCATCGCTTGTCTGCTTTTTTGCATTCCCTGCATCTGATTGCTGGAGACTTTGCAATCCTGCGACGTTTGCTGAAGAGTGTTGTCAGTATCACGACAGACCTGGGTGTGGAGAGTTTGCTTACGAGACTTGAGCCTTTTGAGCTGTCATCAATGCTTCCGTTTTTCGAGCCACCCGCAGCAGACCATGCTGAGTCTTGCCAGCCACAGGCGAGTGATGATAGGGGTCAGGGTTTCCAAGTCATGGCAGAGTCTGACTTTGGGGATGATGTAAATCTAGCAGGGTTTTCGGTCCAAGCAGGGCTCGAGAATTTCTTGGAGTCGGAGTCTGTTCCAGCTTGCCCCGCACAAAATGAAGATGATAGGCTAGTATCCCTTGACACTTCTTTCGGGATAGGAGGCCTCCTGCACATAATCCATAATGCAACAAAAGATTTGGGTTCTTGCATGGAGTGCTACGATGATCAAGTCTCGAAGATGTCAGTCCTGGCAAAGTTTTTGCGAGAGAGGCATTCCAAGGAGCGGCTGCTGGCCAAGTGCTTTAGTCAGGGTGTTCAGGGCGAGGCTGTTTTCAAGGAAGCAGTGGCAAAGTTCCGGTCTCAATGCTATCGTGCTCGCTGGGGCACGGTTGCTTCATGCGCTTTGGATCTGCAGGAAGTGTTGCCCTCGTTGAGGTGGGGTTGGAGCTTGCCAAAGTATCTGGACGGAGGTGCCGTCGCCGGTCAAGGCGAAGCAGAAGGTGCATCCATTGCAGATGTCGATGCACTCGTGCGATGCCCCTTCTTTGAGGCATACCTGTCCATGCTGGTGCTCTTATCAGAAGTAACGTTGCATTTGATTGCATGGTCAGAAAGCTGCCCGTGCCACTGGCATCTTCTCACAGGTGGTGGTTCAAACGCACTGGATGCTTCGACTAGGTGTCTCCTGGAAACATGCCCGATGCGGGGCCGTCGTGCCCCGGAGTTGGCGTTGAATGACTTCATGCAAGAGCTTTCTGCTTTGTCATCACATGGGGCTACGTCATTGGTTCAAAATTTTCCACCGGATCTTCCAGCAGAGGAACGAACCAAGGTTGTGCAAGACTTCGAGATGGGTCGGTCGTTCCTGACGGCTGTGCTTACCTTAATTTAAAAACCTCGCATTTCCGAAGCTTTCCATGGTGTGCTGCAGGCCTCGCTCACCATGATCAGGAGCGTGCTCGTGAGGTCTGGAATCGTATCCGGTGTCTTTCTGAGGAGGGGCCTGAGGCTGTCCGGCTTCGCAAGCACTTGCCTCGCTTGTTCTCGCCAGACGTCTTGCAGCAGGGTGACCAATGGTGTTGCGGGGCAGATTTGACTTCGTGCCCGTTGTTTGCAGCTGAGGTGGCAGGCTTGGCATTAATCCCCACTGCAGAGCGACGTGTGGAATCCCAGCATGCCCGCACACAGAAGGGCTCCAAGAAGAGCCCATGCCACAGCCCAGCATACATGTCTTTGCAGATCCGAGCCAAAGACCTGCGAGAGGCGATGTGCGGAAACCCCAAGGATTTCGTTGCACAGCTTGCACCGTGTGTGAATCAGTGCCGAAGCTACAAGAAGGCGGTGCAAGCCATGAGGCTGGGGCTGCATCCAGCAGCAGCAAAGGGGTCTTCTGCGGTCCGTGACAGGCGTCTTCGAGATCTGTTATATCGTGCCGACATGTTGAGTCAACATCAGAATATGCCAGAAGTGTTTGTGCGTGACCCAGCCACAAATTCGGCTCGGCGGCCAGCGCCCCCAACAGCAGAGGAGCATGCAGTTGAGGCGACAGCACTGGGTCCGATTCTCAAGCGACTTGCTTTGGAACATGTGCTTGATCGTTTGCCTGTTGTTCGGAACTCAGGAGAACCTGTGGTGTTTGCTGTTGCCTATGAGTCCGGAGCTTTCTCCTTGCTTCGTGAGTTCTTGCTGCCCTCGCAGCAGCAGCCGATGCCCATGTTGACATACTCGTCGCCTGAGGTGGTTGCATCCGAGGACATAGTTGAGATATCCGGCCCTGGCCCTCGCAGAGAAGTAGATGTTCTCTTTCAGAAAATCAGCCAAGCAGAAGCAACACATCATCAGATGACAGGCGTGTTTTTCAAGTTGTTGCCATCCATGTCGAAGATGAAACGCTTCCAAGCTGACGGTGAGCTGCGACTGAGCAGCACGGACCTCCCGATCGCATTGCTTCGGGCGGCTTCCTTCAGCCAGGAGCGCAGAGAGCTGCTCGTTGACTCGGAGCTGCTTAACATGAGGTCTGCAGTCCGAGGCCTCGCTGTGGACGACATTCCTTGTGTGCTTTCATTTAGCAGCTTGTCCTTGTCGCAGCTGAAGTCCTTGAGAGTGTTGAAAGTTGACCCCAGCATTGTGTATTGTTTGCGGGCTTGCCAAGACTACTCGCCTCCCCTGTCAGATTCGCGGGCCTTACGAGTCGTGCTTGAGAAGATTTTCTTGAAAGGCAAGGCAGGCGTGACGGACACATCGTCTTTCACGGCTGAGCAACGATCACTCCTGTTGCCCTTGCAGCAAAACGGTCTGCTGACTGAGGACCCACCATTCAAACTCACAGACAAAGGTTTGCGACACGTTTGTTTGGCCAATGCCGTTACCCAGCCACGTCTTCTGCTTGCGAAGTTGCCTGTTCCACCGGTGGAGCAGTCGAAGTGGCAGCTGTTGCAAACACTGTTGGACAACGGCTGGGAAGCACGTGCTTGCCGTGCCAGCCAGTGCCGAAAAGCTGAGTCCTTTGATCACCGGGCGGCTGCGCCTGATAGCAAGATCTTGTTCCTTGTGCAGCAAAAATCCGGTGTTGTGGTTGATCGCTTGTACCTGCTCGCTTTGACGTTGGCTGTGCAGCATGAATTGCAGCCAGTTCCGCACGGTCGATCAGCAGATGTGTACAGAAGGCTCCTCGCGGGTGTTCCCGATCTTGCGCTGCCAGAGCCACGGGCACCACGTGCACGAGTGCGTGCCTTCCGTGCCATTGCGGATGGCGATGAATGGTTAGATCATGTGCCTGTGCCTGTGCCTGCACGCAAGAAAAGACGAGTGAAACAGCAGCGGCAGCAACATCCCCAGCCGCTTCCAGAGGGCGGTGCTCATCCTCACCCGGCAGTTGATGATATCGGTGATGCATCTCCTGTTGATGCTGCTTTGGAGGATGCCCAGGATGGTCCCGACGGTTCCGATGATGCCGGTGATGTCGATGAGTTGCTTCGCATGATAGACGAGATCGACGAAGATGAAGTAGCAGCTGAAGTTGAAACTGAGGCAGCTGAGGCTGCGGCTGAGGCAGTTGCAGGCGACAACGGTGGCGGAGTGGCGGCCATATTGCAGGACGTCTTGCATCCAGTGCATGCAGCAGAGCCTAATTCCGGCAGCAGTGGGAGCACCTCAGAGTCCGATTCCAGCACTGGCAGTTCCGATAGCAGCTCAGGCTCAGGTGATTCAAGTGGCAGTGGCAGCGGCTCTGGCAGCCTCTCCACCGGCAGCGGAGCCACAGACGGTGCACCGGTGCCGGCTCCCAAAGCGAAGGCGAAAGCAAAAGCAAAATCAAAGGCTAAAGGCAAGGCGAAGGCTCGTGCCGGACTCGGCGGTGCGCTCGGGCCCCTTACCTTTTTCTGGAGAGGCTGTAAGTTTACTCCCATCAAGGGCAGTGATGGGACAACAACTGGATACGAGGCCACCTGCAAGCACGAAGCACATGAGCAGTGCCGTCGGACACTCCTGTTCTCTGCTCATGGCGGGGAAGATAATACGCTGCTCAAGTTGAAGTGGTGGTGCCTTGAAGCAAGGCACTATCCGGACAGGCGGGCCCATGTTCATCGGTGCCCGTATAACATTCGTGGTGCGGCACCCACGGCAGCTCAGCTGGATGCACAAAGCTTCGACTCCGACTGAGGGGGAAAGAATCTGAGTGCTTGAGTACTGTCGACTGTCGTCTGTCGTCAGGTGCAATCAGTCAGTGCATGGACGTTTCAGTTGTGTGTGTGTTGTGCGTTGCACAGGTACACGGCGCATATAACAAGGTCAGGGTCAGAGGTCTAGAGTTGCTTGCCCTCCAACTCGAACATTCTGTCCGTCTCCTCAACTTAGGCAAGCCCAAGTATGTTTCATGCTCATGATTCAGCGAGTCGGGGAGTCAGCAGAGTTACCGTGTTGAAGCCCATGGCCCAGGCGGCCCAGGCGCCCCTTCATGAAGGTCTCTAGTCTGTGGCACTTGTCGGTGCCTCTCGTAATGTTGCATCAAATATAATAATATCCCTTGCCCTGGCAGAGACGGTGATAATCTGATAGATACAAAACAAAGAAGAAGATCATGAAGCATCATGATGATGGCGACGGCGACGATGGTGATGAATGATTATGATTGAGGATGCATGTGCCAGGCAGTGGTGGTGATGGTGCTGGTGATGTGTGATGATGATGACGACGATGATGGTCATGCTGATCCTTTTCTGCTGGTGGCTGGTGGTGGGTGGCATGTTGTCTTAGTTGTCTTGCAGTCTTGCCGTCGCAAAAGAAGATGATGTGATGATGCATATGATGATGGTGATGATAGCTGTTGCGACAAGGACGTTGACCAGGGAGATGGTGGTCATGATGTTGGGGTATGTGAAGATGAGTTGTGATGAGTGTATTAATGCTGCTGGCTGTGCAGATGATATTGACGATGCTTGGTGGTGCTAGTGGTGGTGGTGATGTTGACTGAGGACTTGTGACACTAGCTGCCTTGACTCATTGATTGTGGTTCACGCTCCCTGGGACTTTAGACCCTTGGGCCCTTGGGTGCCTGCCCAAACCAATCTGGGGCCCCAAATCCCTAAGGTCACCCCTAGGGCTAAAGTGCACACGCAACGGCCCGAATCTTCATTCGTGAGCATAAACGGTGCATTTCGCACGCAGCAGCAGCAAATCCAGCTGAGAGCAACCTTTTTAGGCGTTTGCAGCATGTTTCTTCAAAAAGTTGGCGAGTTGGCCTTAGGGGCACCTCTAGAAGGCAAGTTTGCTCGCTGGTCGGCTGCTTGGGCTTCCTCCGACGCCCTCCGGTTCTCCTCCGGTTCCTCCGGTTCTCCTCCGGTTCTCCTCCGGTTCTCCTCCGGTTCTCCTCCGGTTCCTCCGGTTCTCCTCCGGTTCTCCTCCGGTTCTCCTCCGGGTTTCCTCCGGTTCCTCCGGTTCTCCTCCGGGTTTCCTCCGGTTCTCCTCCGGGTTTCCTCCGGTTCCTCCGGTTCTCCTCCGGGTCTCCTCTGCTTCGAGTTTTGTTGAGATGAGTTTGCCTTTATAATTGCAAAGAAGGTGCTTGGTAGGATCAGTTTGTCTTGGATTCCACGAAAATCATGCATAATCTCTTGAAATAAGCGAATCCTATCTGTTTCGGTGCAATTCCCTCCGAACAAGCCGAAGCCAGCCAGAAACAGTGCACTTTAGAAAAAGTGTTCACCTTAGGGTTTTGGCGCCCCCAGCGCTCGTACATAAAGGGTTTTGGGCGTTAAGGGCAAGTTGGGCTTACAGGCGGTCCTGGATCACTGGATCGGGGCTGTTTGCTTACTTTCGGCTGTTGCGGGGTTTCCTGGGTCGGGGCTATTTGCTTGCTTGTGGGGCTTCCGCGTGGTCTTGGGTCGGAGCTGTTTCCTTACTTTCGGCGATTGTGGGGCTTCTGCGTGGTCTTGGGTCGGGGAGTCGGGGCTGTTTGCTTACCTTCGGCGATTGTGACTCGTGGCACGACTCGTGGGGCTTCCGGGCGGTTTTGGGTCGGGGCTGTTTTTACTTTCGGCGATTGTGGGGCTTCCGGGTGGTTTTGAGTCAGGGCTGTTTGCTTACTTCCCTGTCACGTCGTGTTACTTCATGTGCCCAGCAGATGAGCCATCATAAGCGAATGAGCGAATGCTGTCCTTTCATGTGATGTGCACAGCCGATGCGTGTGTATGTATGGTTCCGAGGGGGCCGGCGACGAGCATGATTACACATGAGCAGCAGTAGCAGCAGCAGATGTACTCAGGATTTCCAAGAAAGGCCGGCCAGCCTAGCGGCCTAGCGAGCTTGTGCCTTGTGGTTTTCTAGCGCAGTGTGCTGTGCCAGTGCGAGTTTTTTGTCAGAGTCAGTGAGTCAGTGACAGTGAGAGAGTCTCAGAGAGACCGGTCGTGCATTAGTAAAGTTAAAGTAGTGGCAGACACCAAAGGCACAGGTTTAGTATGCATGTTGGCTTTCGTGCGAACACTCTACGTATGCCTTGTAAGCCCACTCTATAGTTACTCTAGTAGCAGACTCGAGTTCCTTTCCATGGCAATGGCAGCCGATAGTTATGTGCGAGACTTCCCAAGGCATTTGCTAAGCAAAGCCACAAGAGATGCAGACAACCTTGCTCGCTTGCAATTCTTCAAGGATGCTGGCCTAAAGGTTCAGAGTGTGTGCAGTGGCATTGACGCAGTTGGCGAGGCTTTGAGACTGCTTCAGTTGGCCATGCAAGAAAGTGCGGAAGAAGGCAGCCATGACGGCGACTGGTGGGTCGTAAAAAGCTCCTGGTGTGACAGTGGTGCAGCCCAGCAGGCATTTTTGCTTGCTCGTGCAGAGCAAATGGATGGTCACCTACGACCATGTCTTTTCGAATCTGTGGAAGCAATGGTGCCCGGGAATGTGCAGGAAGAGCTGGGGATGCTGACACCGCCTGCTTGTGCCACTCGTGATGAGAAGACAGCAGCAGCAACTTGGTACCACCAGCTCGGCCTCTCGTTGACAGAGAAAGGTTCACTGGCATTTCCAGCGGGGCATCAAGCATTTTGCTTGGTGCACCAGCAGCAGTGTCACGTTAGGCAGTCCAGGTGCATGCCAGCCGGCGTGCTGAAGACGAACCCCGTGCTCATGAACTGTGCAGGACTGCCCTGCATTGCATACAGCAAAGTAGGGCTGCGGCGCCAAGCCGCGGATCCTTCGGAGATGGCCGTCCAGGTGTATCTCAGTGAGCGACAGCAGTGTCTGGAAGATTTCTTCCTTTTCGAGAATGTGACTTTGTTCCCCTACGAGAAGATCGAGGAGAAGTTGCGGGACACTCACCACCTGGTGCCTCTGACCTTCGGACCCAAGGACTGTCCTGCTGTGTTGCTGCATTTCACTCATTGAAGTCTATGTTCTGTGCAGACAGTGACAGTTAGTGACAGTGCAGATTCAATTCCATGCTGTCGCATGAGCAGATTCCGTGTTCGTGCGATTCGCGTGTGTGTATACTTTATGTTATGCTTGTGTGAGTGTTTGTGTGTGACTGCATGCAAAATACATCATCAGACTGTCAAAGAATGGCTGCCCTTGCGTACGATTCGAAGCCACACGGCCATGAGGACACATATCAGTGACTGTCAGTGATTCAAACCTTTGGTGACTTTGGTGCACTTTCCACGGAGCCACGGAGCCAGCAAGGCTCTTGTTTGCTTGGGTCATGTGGATTGTATCTTAACGAAATCCTGATTTCCAACCCAGCGAAATCCAGAGCCTCAAGATGGGGTTGGAATTTCACCAAATCCGTGAACGAAACCCTGATCAAGGGGTGGTTGGAATCTCACCGAATCCGTTAACGAAATCCTGATTTCCAACACCTCAAATCCAGAGCCTCAAGGGGGGGTTGGAATTTCACCAAAGCCGCTCTCCGTTTATACTGTTTCAACCAATAATATATGCGATGATTGATGTGATTTGTGGGACGTTCGTCCCTGGGCCCTGGGTGGGATTGGCGGGCTGGCATGCTGGAAATCATGTGGACAATGAGCTGTGCAAGTGTTTATGCATACTGCACATACCTCGTCACATAACTACTTGAAAACCAAGATGACACTGTTATGACATACCTGATTCATCGTGCAGTTTTTCTTGGACAAGATCCAGCGTGAGCCACTCGTGCGAGCACTGCCATCCTTGGAACCATGGACGGCGACTCTCCAGCTCAGCAGACACGTCAGGCATCCACTCAGATCGAGAGTGGCGGTGGCAGTGGAACTGCTACGGTGGCCCAGCGACCGCCGACCGTGGCCCAGGCCAAGGGCAAGGCCGCCGCAGCAAAAGTGCCAAGGATGTGTGCTGCTGAGGATTGCCCCAATGAAGCTTGCAGAAATCAGCGTTGGTGCCAAGATCACCGGCGGGCTTATGCAGCCATGGTTATCAATGCAAGGAAGCAGGGGCAGGAGGACGAGCTGAAAGAAGTCATGGCATGTGAGATTCGAAGCAAAGTGGCGATGCGTGATTGGTGCGAGAAGAACCCAGTGGATGGGAAATGGTCTCGCAAGAGAACTCACGACTTCGCGCAGTACCAGCACGTCGAAGGCACCTTGGATGAGCATGGCGACAATGACCAAGATTGGCCGATGACGGAAGCCGAGTTTCTGCATTGGGCCACGGACACCAAGCGACTAACCAGCACCGGGGCTTCCAACTGGTGGAAGGAGTTGCTGGTGTCTTGCAAGAAGGACTACAAGGGCAGAGAGCCTCATGGGGCTCTGGGAGCTCAGCGCCTTTGGGTGCCGGCAGCGGAGTTTAGTCAGCGCAAGAGAGCCCGCTTCAATCAGTCGCAGGTTGTGGAGAACAGCCGCCCAATGAGGAGATTGGCCGAGGATGACCTGGATGATCTCAGGGCTTTTGCTGCTTCCAGAACAGCTGATGAGAGCTTTCTGCGTGGAGAGCCACGGCGAGTGGCTCCTCGCCTTTCGCAACCGCAGACGCCTTCTGGGCCGGGCCCATCCGCTGCTGCTGCTGGCACTTCGCCAGCCGAGGCAAACACGAGCCCGCAGAAGGAGAAGGCTGTGGACTTGGCCCTCGAGAAGCCCAAGCTTATCAACAAGCAGAAGGCCGAGCTTCGAGGGTTGGAAAATGGTTTGCGAGAGGCAGCCCGGAAAGGCATGGAGCAATGGACCGCCTGC